CTTTGATGTACCAGAGGATCATCACAGCAGCACCCCAATGAAAATCACAAGGAGAGTCAAGGAACTGACTCGGCACACTAAATACAAAAGAAATGTCCAGCCTAGTCACGGTTAGATAATTAAGCTTCCCAATCAACCTCCGATAACGTCTAGGATCTGATAATGGCTCTCCCTGTCTAGCGTAGTATTTTGATAGTAGAATCCATAAGTGTATCAACCGGCTTACACCCCAAAATACCAGTCTCCTCTAGGATATCCAAGGCATATTTCCTTTGACAGATAGAAATGCCTTGTCAAGACTATGCTACTTCAATCCCTAAGAAGTAACGAAGCTTACCAAGATCCTTTGTTTGAAATTGACTGAACAAATACTGTTTTAACTGGTGAATCCCAGCTTGATCACTTCCAGTGACAATAATGTCATCGACATAGACTAACAGATAGATGGATTTGTCAGGAGATGTGAACCTATAAACACAGAATGATCAACCTTACTACGAATTAAGCCAAAAGCCTGACCAGCAGAACTGAAACGGCTAAACCAAGCCCGAGGAGACTGCTTGAGGCCATATAAGGACTTACGAAGTCTGAACACCATCCCAGACTCCCCCTGAGAAACATACCTAGGTGGTTGCTCCATGTAAACCTCTTCTTGTAAATCACTATGAAGAAAATCATTTTTAATATCTAGTTGAAGGAGTGGCTAGTGACGAACAGCAGCAAGGGAAAGAAACATTCGGACAGACGCCATCTTAGCGACAGGAGAGAACGTGTCAAAAGTGAGACACACAAAGAACCAAGCACAAATCTAGAAAGAGGAGAAAAAACTGAGCTAACTTGTCCAAGAACGACTGGAAAGGGACGCCGAAACAGTGCACATGCGCCGGTGAAGGGTGGCGCATGAGCACCATGCGCAGGGAGAAGGAGCCACGCGTGAAGGCGCATGGGGACTCCTATGGTGATAGGTCTTCCACGAACTTGGTCGCCGAAGAGAGAGGACTCTAATCAAAGGCTTCCCGGTTGAAAACGAAACCGGAACAGTACTTCGGTGGCTGTGAACAATGACGAAAGGTGGTTCTGGCGGCAATCAGTGGTTCTGACGGTTGAAGAAACAAGCCGGAAGGACGCACGACTGATGAAGATTTGCCGAAATGACGAACGACAAAGTAAAAAAGAAGACCCAAGTAGTGGGCTTAGGATTTTAGCAGAAGCAGATCCCCAGAACAAATAGCTCTTATACCAAGTTGAGATTAAAGAATAATTGTATATAGAATAATAGTGTGTCACAATGTACAAGAACTCTCTATTTAAAGAGATTAAAAGACCTATAGGCTAAGTCCACAAGACGTGGGACTATACACTGAACTATTCTAACAATTACTCTAATAGTACCAATGAAGGATTGCATATTTCTTCTTAGTTGCACTTTTTTCCACTCTATTTCACTCATTTCTCAATATGCATTGCCGTTAATTTTTTCTTAATTCTTCTTTTTAGGTTTTTGTTCTTGGTTGTTTATAGTGTCATAATATTTTTTATTATATGATATTATCACTTTATCCATAGACATGCTGGGACTAAGGAAAATAAGCATATTGATTTGCCACATCCCCATCTGATTATTGTTTGATTCTACCAGAATTTTTTTTTTCTTTTCTGTTCTATCATGTGAATTTAAATTTAGCTTTTGAGATGATAGCCTTTTGGATTATGGCTTTTAAACAAACAATAGAGTTGTTATTTGTATATCTTGTACATTAAAAATTGGAAAATATTATTCTCCTTTCACATAAGATATCTTCTCGCATGTTGTTTCACTTCGATTTTTCGCACCCCACCTTTTTTTTTTCTTTCTTTTTGTAATGGTGGGACCCACTTATTTTCTCTGTACAACATAAGATAACTATCTTATGTGAAAGGAGACTAATAAAGCCCTTAAAAATTTCTCTGACTTTATATGAGCATTTAAAATTTCATTTCTTGGAACAAAAGCTACTTTATCTTAAAAGTAGTTTATCATTTATCTTGTAAGATTGTCACTATTTTTTTTGGGAAAAGCTGTTATTTTTATTTCTTGGAATAGAATGAATTTTATTTTTTGGATTAACTGTTATTTTTCTTTCTTTTGATTGATTTAATTTCTAAGGAAGAGGATATTCCAGCGGCGCAAAATGTGAAAGTGATCAATCAAAGGAGGAGGAATATAAAGCTCACCAAAAGATGCTGAAGGATGCCAAATGCAAAGAAAAAATTCCCAAAAATAATTATTGCGTGTGTTGTTATGAATATTATTTGAGAAATTTTTTATTTTGTTTAAAAAATTAGTTGAGAAATTTTATAATTGGAACTCTTGCTTGAAACACAATCCCACGAACGAGAAATTTGATTTTTTTTATTTTAGTTTGATTTGAAACTTGTTAGGCCTTGAAAGCCTTTTAGGCCATATTAGGCTTTTCAAAGTTCTAGAATAGGCCAGGTCAGACATATAAACCAAGCCTTTAATAGGCTAATAGGTCAGTGTAGGCTCTAAAACTTTTACATAGGCTAAAGCTATTAAGGCCAAAGTCTAGTCTAGTCTGGCCCATTTACACTCCTAAGATAATGTCTCTCAAGTCTTTGAATTGAAAAACCAATAACAGGATCTACACCAAGGAGGTATGATAATTACTAAATATTTTAATGAATTAAAAATTTTATGGTGGAAACTAAACCTTTACTAAGCATTCTTTCCCCCGCCTTCTCTTTGGGGGGAGTCTATAGGAGAAAATGAAGATAAGTCGTGAAAACATACTAAAATCACAGTGTTACTACTACCATTAGAAAAAAGGAGGGCAGCCACAGTGCTTGATGCCATAGTGTTACCATTGGAAAAAGGGGGAGCTATTCAACCTCTAGTTATAGTAGGAGAAATTGGCGAAAGCCTCCTCAAAGCGTAAATAATCCAAAACCTTTAGACTACCAGGATTCTGATTCGAGTTCTAGTTCCAGCAATCAAACACCTATATGCCATGGCACAACTGTCTCTCTAAGAAAATATATTCAATCTTGTACTACTCATCCTATTTCTCACCATATTTCATATGAGAAGTTGTCTCCAAGTTTTCGTGCCTTCAACACTGCATTAGACAGTACAAAAATACCTAAAAATATCCAAGAAGCCCTCGATGATTCAAAGTGGAGGAATATTCTCCCTGGAAAGGAATAGAACCTGGGAAACAATGACATTACCGATAAAAAAACAGTCGATAGGTTGCAAATGGGTATTCACTACTAAATTCATGCAGATAACAGCATAAACAAATATAAGGTCAAATTGGTTGCAAAGGGATTCACCTAGACATATGAAATAGACTATCAAGAAACATTTGCTTCAATTGCCACGGACAGCGCCATTCGAGTCCTCTTATCTCTAGCCGCTAACTTGGATTGGCCTCTGCAACAATTAGATGTGAAGGATGTATTCTTAAATGGCAACCTACATGAGGAAGTCTATATGGATCCTCCACCTAGTGTCGGAAAAGAAGATGGATTGGTGTGTAATTTAAAAAAGTCTCTCTACAAGCTTAAATGATCCCCTAGAGAATGGTTGAATAAATTCACGCAGACAGTCAAGAGGAAAGGTTTACATCAACCACAAACTGATAATACTCTTTTCCACAAATACTCTAAGGACATAAAAATTGTTATTCTTATTGGTTATGTGGACGACAGAATCATTACAGGTGCAGATCGTGAGGAATTAGATCCCTTGAACAAATATCCAACAAAGATCTTGGAATTCTCAAGTACTTTCTTTGTATGAAAATGGTCTGAAGAAAGTCAAGAATCACTCAGAAAAAACATATACTTGATCTTTTGCAAGAAACAGGCATGTTAGGATGTAAATGAGCCGAGACCACTGTGGAATCTAACACTAAGCTAGGGATTGAAGACGGGAAAGAGGTGGATAAATAGCAATATTAGAGATTGTTGGAAAATCGGTCTATTTATCTCACACTCAATCTAACATTGCCCTCGCAGTTAGCTTGGTTAGTCAATTCATGCATTCACCCAAGGAGAAACATTTAGGTGTTATCCATAAGATTCTTAAGTACCTCAAGAACACTTCAGGTAGGGATTATTCTTCAATAAAGGTATAAGAGGATGATTGAAATTTAAACTGATGCATACTAAACATGTTCATCAGTAGACTGAAGATCCACCTCAAGCTATTGCATTTTATGTATGGGGCAATCTAGTGATGAAGAGGAGTAAAAAACAAACAGCAGTCTCCAGAAGTAGTGATGAGAAAGAATTTTGAGCTCTTACTCGTGGAGTATGTGACTAAGTCTGGTTGAGAAGATTGCTTGAAGAATTGAAGATCTTTTATTCTTTACCAGTTAAACTCTACTGTGACAACAAGGTAGCTACGAGCATTGCCTAAAATTATGTTCTCCATGACAGGACAAAACATGAGGAAGTTGATCTCACTTCATCAAAGTAAAATTAGATGATGGAAGTGTGTGTAAGACGTACATTCCAACTAAACAACAGACAACAAACATTAATACTGAAGACTTACATAGACCAGCATTTGAAGACATTATTGGCAAGTTGGAAATGATCAACATATGCCTCCCAACGTGAGAGGGAGTGTTGGAAATTAGAAAAGATTGCTTCCATTTATTGGGTATATTATCAAATCCCTAATATCTCTTTATAATTCGTTTTTATTTTCTTTTATTAGGAGAGATTTATTTCCCTATTTAACTGGAATGGGGTGTCTATATATATGTGTAACCTATTGTTAATAGAGGATTCACAATTCGTGTTCATTTTTACTCTTCTAACAAAAACCAACTACAGCATATCCATTCTTCTGTATAACGTATAAGCTGTTGATGAATTTCCTTGCAGCTGATTAAGATCAGTTTTTACACCTCTAGAGTCCTAGAATGATTGACACACCTGGCATGCGCATTCTAAGCTTAGAAGAAAATTAAAGCGATGTCTATACTTACGTGAGATTCTTCGAATTCAAGATGGCCATTGATCTACTGCCTCCATTCTCCAATATCACAAGAGCACAGTCAGTGTACTTCTTTGCAACTGCTCTGTGCAGTACAGATTCACCGTCATCATCCACAGCATTAGGATCAGCTCCAGCAAGTAGTAATTCCTGTTATTTTACCACAAACTTACATGAATGTAGCTATCGTAAACAGGAAGAAGCATCTTAGTATAATATAAGCAAAACATACTTTCATGCAATCTGGTTGGCCATGATCGGCACAAACATGAGCAATAGATGGGCCAAAGCCATCTCTCAATCGTGACCTAACATTAGCATTTCTTTTGACAAGACAATGAACACATTCCGGGGATCCAGTAGCTAATGCAAAAAAGAGAGGAGGATCTCCATCTTTGTCCAAGACATCAACATTTGCCTCTGGATACTCCAAGATTGCCTCAACAAGCTTTGCACAGCCACGTCTACAAGCCAAGTGGAGGGCAGTTTGTCCATCAATATTTTGTACTTCGAATAGAGAAGATATGTAGTTGCTGCCACGTTCTGATGCAGCCTTTACAAGAAGATCTCTGCGCAAGAAGTACAAAGAAAATGAATGAATATCAAAATTTAAATGAAAGCTTGATCACGGAAGATTGGTTGTAGGACCAACCAACCTAACACCTCTGACGTCCCCCGCAGACACAAGTCGATGAAGATGGCTTGGGCTTTGCTGAGTAACATCTAAATCAGGAACAGGGGACAGCTCCATCACATGTGATGCAAAGCTTTTAACAAAGTCACTGTATTTACAGAAATATATAACACTGTGTAAGACAAATGCTGGACATCAATGAGAATTGTGGATTTGGCTCATTCACAAGCAAGCTCACATTGCTTATTAAAAACCATAAATAGCCTACACTTTGACTGCTCAATCAGATGCCATATAAACAGCATAGAAGATACAAGCCATGGATATAATAACTTTAGAGGCTTACTTATCAGGGCTCGAAGGAGGGCTGTGTGGTATTTCCTGCAAATGACGGAGAAATATTGCTAGCATTGCGCTAAAACTAGGCCTTTTAGATGGCTTGAACTGCAAGCACTCTCCAATCATCTTCCACAAATCCCTAGGTATTCCACCACCAACCACACTAGCATACTGTGGGGGCTGATTCTTTGCTTTGACAACCGCTTGATGAATTTCCTCTGAACTTAAACCAGCCCAACTGCACAAGCATAGATTTTGCAGTATGAAATTCTAAGAAAAGAAGTGAGAACATAAGGAAGAAAGGTTCAATAAAGAATGAATTGCTCCACATACGGAACAGAACCAGTGCACATCTCCACCAGTGTACAACCAAAACTCCAGGCATCAGACTCTGCAGATATACCTATTGCATCATCCCTGAACAAATTTAATGACTTCTTCACCGGTTCCCCCCAAGCCTCTGGAGCTGTGTAATGTGGACTGAGCATTGTACATTCCATACAGGAGTGTGTTTTTGAGGAGTCACACTCTGGTTGGGCCTTCCAACAGGAAGGCTTCTTTAGAATTGCAGCAAGTCCGTAATCAGAAACCACTGCATGACCGTCTGGATCAAGAAGAAGATTGGATGGTTTTATATTCATGCAAACAATGCCTGCAGCATGTAGCTCAGCAATCCCTCGCGCAATGTCTGCCCCATATCTACATTTGCCAAAATTTGAAGTCACTATTCACAGCTGTCACGGGCAATTGGTATACAATATGGGAGAACTCCAATCACAGGGAAATTATTTTTAAGCTGACCATATTACATGAATAAGAATTAAGAAAACAAGCAATCATCAAGCCATAGATAAAACTGTTCTTGTGAAATGTTTTCAACACAATTTCATCCAAACAATTCAACCCTTTTTTTATTCATGATTAATTGCAAAAAAAAAACAGTAAAGTACAGAGGCAGCACGTCAGTTAAATGATAAATGTTGGATATTGAATAAACCACTCCGATTAACTCCAGTCTGGATGATCACTGAGGTACCAGTGTCCCTACAAACAGTCATTAACATTGCATTTTCTTTAAATTTTCACCATAATGCAGTTCATCGTACTTATAACCTGTAATATTGGCAGCTATAATACTCATCAAACCAATCTATATAAATTAAACTAATCAAGCACGAAAATTGCTACGCTTCTTTTTTATTCCTAACTACCAAGTTCCAGTAATAAATTTCTTCCCACTAGCTTATCACAAAAACCATAGAAAAAAATACAAAAAAAAAAACAGAGAAAAGAAATGCTACAACCAGAAATTTGATTAGAGAAGTAAAACAGAGTTTTGTTAGTTCAGACTCAGTACATCGTATAGGTGACAACATATCTAAAGGTTTTTTTTTTTTTTTTTTTGGGTGAACTAACATATCTAAAGCTTTAATTTCATAATATCTTTAAAGTAACAATTTTTAATCATATTCATAGTCTATAATACGTTGACACATGGAGGATCATTGTGAAGTGGCAATATATCTTTAGACTGAATTCCAAAATATCTATTCATTTACAAGTTTAAATCATCTTCCTAGTTATAGGTGAAGGTATCAACATTAACCTTCATACTAAACTAATAACCCATATAAATATAAAATAACAAATAAAGAAATAATATATGCATATAAATTTTGTATATCTATTTATTAATAACTTGTATTCATATTCATATTTGTAAAGTGACACAAATCAAAGAACAAAATAAAACCTAAGGACTTGCTCCAAAGTAAGCCTGCCCTCGTTGCGGTGCATCTCAGACTGAAGCGATCCATAACACCTGTCCATGACAATGCACAAACAGTTATCCACCTTCACTGCCCCATGAAACGTGCACACATTCCTACACCACATCGAACCCCGACGCAACAATTCAAGCTTCTCCATCATCCACTCCACCACCTCCCCCACCACCGCAACCTTCTTCACCGCCACCTTATGCCGGCCGCCAATCACCGCCGTCCACATCTCCACGTCAGACCTCCTCCCCTCCCCAATCCGCTTCACCAACCTCAAATCCCCGATCCTCCCCGACCACGACTTCTGCGCCACATGGCTCCGCCGCCGCGCCACGTCCACGTCATCTTCTTCTTCGTCTTCGTCTTCGTCTTCGGTGTAGTCAAAATTGAAGTCGAAAACGGACCTAACTGCTTTAGGCGAGGGCCTGCGAAGGAGGCCGATGACGGCGTAATTCTTAGGGAGAGCTTGAACGGAGTTTCCGACGGTGGAGACGTGGCGGCACCGCGGACACGTCAGCGTGGTGTCCGGCGACGCCGAGAATATTCTAGAAAGGCATTCTTTGCAGAAACCGTGGCCGCATTGGAGCATGAGCGGAACCCGCTCCTCCTCGTTGTACCGCGTTTGGCAAATGGAACAGCACGGAACTCTGGTTTTCATTTTCCAAAATCATCCGAACCGAACCGAACCGAAACTCGAAGTTGAACCGTTGAACCGTAGGAATGGTTCTTTTTTTTTTTTTTTGAAGACTGAGGAAAATGACGATGATGATGATGATGATGTTATAGTTGGAGTTGGTTATGGAGAACTGAAGGTGGTGATGAGAGGTGGAAGTGGCAAGAGTATGAAATATGAATTGAGGAGAGAGGTTGAGGTTACAAGTTACAACAAAGTGATCAGTTGAGGTAATGGGGAGAGGAATTTAGAGAGAGAAAGGGTTTTAGAGAGAGAATGAATAACAGAACCAGAACAATGAGGAACTGGTAAGCTTGAGTTGTTTAAAAGAGGGGTTTTTTTTAATTTTTTTTTTTTTTAATCTTTCTCTTAAAATTTTCAACCATCTCAGATTCTAAGAATGGCTAAACAGATGACTTTGAATTTGAACCCTTTTCTAAGTTTGAAGGGATCATATATATTTTTTTAAGAAATTATTGACGAAAAATCTTTGGAGTTGTTGGGATTTAAATTTCAAAGTTGAAAATAAATAAATATCCTCTAAAACAAAACAGATGTAGTATAATGATATAGGTTAAATTAATATTTGTTATATTATATGAGATAATTTTATTTTTTAATACACATATAATTGTGTGAGATTCATATGTGCCATGTAAAAAGAAAAAAAAAATGAGTTTCATATTTTTATATGTTTTGTAGAAGATAAAATTATTTCTTATTTGAAAATATTAATTCTTAAATTTATATATAGGGTTGCGAAATAAATATTTGATTTTACGCAAAATTATTTACGTTAACGTGTGTTGTCAACTTGTGATGTCATACTATTACAAAATTTCACCTTTTATTTTATGGGTCTTATTGTCATTGTCAAACACTTCTATTGATGTATTAACATATGACTGAATGATAATATAAAATTTTATATTTAAAATTAATTAAAACAAAATTTCTTTACTTAAATTAAGTTGTTTTCTTTCACCAAATAAAAAAATTAAATTATTTAGTTAATCTACAAAGTTTGGTTTTAACTTTTAAATCATTATCACGAAGAAAAACTACAACATTAATGCATTATATAGGGGTGTCAATTCAGTACATCATACAAACATGACATAAGTTTTTTATATTTGGGTTGATTCACATTTATGTATGTTCGTATTGGTAAAAATAACATATAAAAGTTTATGTCATTTGCGTGTTAATATGTAAAAACAACATTGATTTATGATTTTGACCGATGGGTTATCTGTATAACGTCGTGTCATTATTTGGTTAATATTGTTAATTGATGAAAGAGCTACCTCATTTTTTATTTTATTTTTGGTAATTAGAAAGAGCTACCTTTAATACACATGTTATTCTTTGTGTCATATCATATAACCTGCATAACAAGTGAATCGTGTTGAGAATACGTTAATTTAAGGTTAATGAGTTATTTGTATTATCAACCCATAAAATTAATGGATCATATTTTTGTCGGAAATTTTGACCCAAATATTTATTTGTGTCATATTCACATTGAATATATTTATTATATTTATATTCATCTCAAATATTAACATAGTATCAACATGATTCCCTATCACAAATTACACCACCAATTAACAATCAAGTTAGATTTTTTTTTTTACCATCTAACAGGTTGAGTTTTATATAGTTCTAGTTCCGATCTGATATTCGAGATGTCCAACCTAATGATTGGTATATTTATTTTGGATCTATGCGTCCTTTCTCAGGTATCTATGGAAGAGATACCTTAGAAATCAGCATATCATTGTGCACTATAGTAAAAATGGCATAGCCAAAGGGTGGGGTGTGTGCACAGTAACAGCTAAAAGAAAGAAGGTTTAGAATGTGTGTACCTTATTGATCGCATTTGTGAATATTTTTATTATTCTTAGTATCTGAAAGTCGGCCATGTTCTTGGTCCGAGCCTTGTTAGCCTTTGATCTGTGGTGTATAGCTTCAACTATCTTGTTGTGCATAATTCTTACCTCGGACATCCTCCTTTGCTTCCCTACCCAATAGCCTGGATTTTTGAAGTAAAGCATATTGAATTATTAATCTTGTTGGCCAAACTTTCATGACTGAGGTCTCTTTTATAAGTAGAGGAGTTTTCTATTTAACCTCTTTGTCAGGGTTTTATCTCGACCTTCTTGAGCTATGCAATTTTAACTAGAACCAATATATTATTATCGATCCGTGTTCTGAATTTATTCTTTCTTATTTCACTTTTTCTTTTGTGTCGGGTTTCATGAGCCTGGTATCGAGTATGCTATTCTAATATTTCTCTCTCAATCTTTTTTTACTATCTTACCGAGATCTTTACCTGTGAAGGTTGTTGCTTTCCTCATTCAATTTTGATTGTTGTGTTGCTACACTTGCCCCTAATTCAGCCGTCCGGAAATCTACAAGACTAGCTAAAGTATAGCGATATATTTTGGAATGATCATAAAATAAATATAGAAATACATTAACACTGATATAAAATGTTAATAGTTAAAAGTGACAAAATAGACTCGGCCCGGAAAGCTGACCCACCACGCCAAACAAACCGATTTTTTTTTCCCGTGCATCAACACAAGTAATACACTAGTATATTCATAAATATGATTCAAAATAATTATATTTTCGTAATTTCCCCCTCCCACACACACAAAAACGGCGCCTGGTTGAGTCGCCATTTTGCACATATTACATTTATATAAGGAGCCACTTGTTGCGCCTACTAGGAACAGAGTGAATATAATATATCAGAAAAATACTTCTACAGTTATTGCAGATAAGTTATCTGAATTTATCTCTAAAACGACGTCGTTTTGGGATTGAAAGATTAAAAAATTATAATTATAAAGACTATAATAACCCTAAAATAAATTAAAATTACAAAAACACAATGATCTCTGTCCAAAACGACGTCGTATTGGACTTACTGCAGATAACTTATATGCACTGCAGAAAAAGTGAACTCATAAAATTGGTTCAAAATAAGAGTATCTAATCTCCATTAGATTAACATTTTCTCTCTATAATAAATTAGTAGTAAGAATTTTTGGTAATTACAATATCCTCATCTTCAAAATAATTATATTTTCGTAATCCCACACGCACACACACTTTCTTCTTCCTAAAAAAAATAACACTTTTTTTTTTTTCCTAAACAAAATAACACTGAGGCGAGGCGCGCACAGAGAGAGAGACACTGAACACTTTCTTTTTCCTAAAAAAATAACACTGAGGCGAGGCGCACACACACAGAGAGAGAGAGAGACACTGACTGACGTTGAGTACAGAAGTGAGGTGAAGAGAGTGGAGTTCATTTATCCCCTTGAAAGGTAACTTTTCAGAATTTATTCCTCCATTTTGCGCAATGGGTTTGATTTTATTGCCCCCGTCGTGCTTTGTGTTATGTTAAATTTGATTTTGCCCACAAACTGTTTGATGTATGGTCTGAATTATGCAGAGAGCGCGTGTGTCTGCGTGAATGCTGAGTTCTTTTGGTTCCTGTGCAGTATTGCACCCCGTTTTATTTTCATTGACCTGTGAAGACGTGTGGGGTTTATCCCTCCTCTCTGTGTGTGTGTCCTTTTGTGCTTGGTTAATAACTTACATAACTTTTGATGAAGTTTGGATCATGAGACTTTGTTCAAGTGAGCAGTTTTATTCTCCAATTAGGGTGTTTTCCTGCTTCTGGCTCTACATAGGAAAAGCATGTGTGGCCTGAGCTGATCTATGTGAAGTCATTTTGATTTATAATTCCTTATCCTCACTTGTATGGAAAGTTCCCTGTTTTAAGATATGTTGTTTGTTGCTTAATGGAGAGCTGTAAAAAACTTCCTTCACGATGGTGTTTCAGATATAAGCATAAAAATGAAGTGGTAAAACCTGAATCTGGATTGTCTACTAGAAAATTATGTGAGAGTGCTATTATTTTTGTGTGATATTATGTGCTAACTAACAATAAACATGCTTTTTTATTTATTTATTCTGTCTGTCAATTTTCCCCAATCATTTTAGTTATTGAAGGGGGTTTTCTTTCTTTGTTAAGTTTAAACATAAAAGAGAAAAAGAGGAAGAAAAATCAAAATTCTACAACCCCCCCCCCCCCCCCCCCCCCCCCCCCCCCCCCCCCCCGTTTCAATTTCCTGGTTTTCTATCTCCTTCAATTTCTTTTGATTGCTTCTCTCGTTGCCTTCCTTTTCCTTTGGCCAAACATACCCTTTGAGAGAGTTGCTTGACTTTAACTCCATGTGATCCATCTACTCCATCATTATCATTATCTCTGACCTAAACTTCATATACCATCCATCAATATCCTTATACCATTGATCTACAGTTACACATCAAGGTAATGCACTGATTTCCTATTGCTATGCTTGATACTGGAGATGTTAAAGCTCCTTTTGTGGTTAAGTTTCTGAGTTGTGACTTGAAATTCACCAAACCTATACCTTGATATGTTCATTTCTTTTGTTGATGTGAATGTGGTTTCTTGAAGGGCTTGCATAAGTTAAATGCAACTTCTTTTGTAGTTTTTCTGTTCATTCTGTGTCAACGGGTTTTGAGAGAGTAAGAGACTGTATTCAGTCAACATGATTATATTTGGAATCTGTCTTTCCTGGATAATTTTCCTGCATTTGTACTTATTCAAGTTGATTGGGAAAGTAGAATGAAATTTATCTTGTCATTTAACTTTTCAGTCTTTACCCCTGGGTGATCAGTTGTTTGTAGAAATAGATATTACTAGCTGTGTCTACATATATTTGTTAATGGTCTCCGATGCTATGTTTGCATAGAATTTACGAATCTGATAAAAAATCTATTATTCAAGCCAGTGTTTTACCTGTTGCTTACAGGTTGTGAAAGTGAGTGAGTGAGTGATAGAAATGGGTTTAATTGATTTTCAGATACTGGTTTGTGATCAATGGCACTTTTGAGATTTTTTGATCTTTTTTTAGCATATGTACTAAATGTCCATGTCTTCAATTATTTGCTGAAAATCCTACTCTTTGAATGTTTAGATTCTGGTTTGTTTAAAAATAATAGTGAAACTTGGAAAGTTTGGTATGTTTGTGAGAAAAGAGTGCCAATATCATTGAAACTTCAGGACTGATTGGGTTGTGACTTTAGGTCTGATTTGTATTTCAGTTCTTTATAGTTGGTTTACTACATTTTCTTGTGGCATATTATTTTGTTATCTATTTCAATTACTTAGCCTGGTCTATCTTTCTCTCTCTTGGATGTCAGGGCTAGTTTCACATGTTACTTTGAGTTGATGTGGGGCATTACATGACTGGTCTGTGTTTAATTCACAAGTTGTCTACTTTTTGTCATTTTTAATTTCTTTCCCAAATAAAAAGGATTGATTGATATTGGAGAGTTTCTACAATTCCTATAAAAGCTATATTGAGCTTGTTTGGCTGATCGGGAGACAGCTTAGAGTTATGAGCTTGAATAGTGGATTTGGAGCCCCTTCCCTTTTCCCTTTGGTCTAGATCTTTGATATTCTGGTAATGTGGTTGATTTATGCTTTTTGATAGATGTACAAGCATCATTCTAGTGGCTTTTCCTTTTCCGCAATAATCACCTTCTCCATTTTTTGTTCATGCCTGAATTGACCATACCTTACTACTGTTATTCGTCCTCAATTGCTACTAGTGATCTTTCAACACCATGCTTTCCCTAAACACTTAGATCTTGTTATAAAAAAAAAAAAAAAAAAAAAAAACACTTAGATCTGACATTTACTTGGCTTGTCAAAGGTGAACAAAGCACTTATCTTCCACTAAGGATAGCAACATTCTGGATTCATACCTGGGGAGAGAGGAAAAGGGAAGTGATGGGATTGAGAAACCTGGGGCCATTTGGGACTTTTATTAAAGAAGCATGGGAAAAAACATTCTCTATTGCTAAGGTCTTCTGTTGTCTACATATTACCAACACCTATCTGATCACCCCTGTTCAGGTAAACATAATTTCTCTTTGCACTTATCTTAAATTCTATTTCATGATTAACCAGTAACAAGTTCCAATGCTGTAGACCTATGGTCCTAGCATGCTTCCTACAATAGATTTGACAGCAAACGTGTTTTTCGCGGAAAGTATCTCAACTCGATCTGGTAAAGTCACTCGTGGAGATATTATAGTCTTGCGCTCACCTCAAAACCCTAGAAAGTTTATCACCAAACGCGTGGTTGGAATGGAGGGTGATAGCATTACATACATTTCTAGTACCGAGAACAGTGATAAGCATGAGACAGTTTTGGTATGGTTAATTTCTTATAAAAAAATTTCCCCTTTTAGTTATTTTTGATGATTTTGATTATGGGTTTTGCTTTGCTAGTTTTTGAAGTTATTTGTTTATTTTTGGGATAACTGCTTTGTGAAGTGGCTTTGTTTTGGCTTCATCATTTTAAGCATGGACTTGATATTTGCTTGTTTATAGTGTTTGGTCTAGGGAAGTTTGACATTTATTGATTTTTTCCTTTGTGGAATGGATTTGGGAGAATTTTTTTTCTAAGTCTGCCTTCCTTCTATAGATTCCAAAGGGTCACATTTGGGTACAAGGAGATAACATGTATAATACCATAGATTCAAGAAATTTTGGACCTGTTCCCTATGGCCTTATTCAGAGCAGGATATTCTGGAGGGTAAGATTTTGTGTATGTTTCGAGGACACGCACCACCCCCCTTTCCCCCCCTCTTTTCTTCTGTCTCTTTCCTAATCGTTTGATGTTTTGTCTGTAGGTATGGCCACTTACAAAATTTGGACCTTTCTGGAAAAAATGATCTGAAGCTTTCAACCATGAAGTTACGATCTTGTGCAACATAACCAACTTTATGTTTAATTTTGAAAGGCAAAACGCTATCCATTTGGACTCTGTCCAACCTTTCTTTGCGATTTGGAGTTCACTTCCCAGACTTGTGCATTTTAATCACCTTCAAAGTGTTACATTCTTTTCTATTACTTATAGGAACAGTTTACCTTTTAGGGATTAATTATTCTTCTATTGTTCTTAAAAAATGAAGTCACAAGACATGGTAGTGGATGATCACTATTATCTACTCCGATTGGTTTGGAATAATCTGCATAGCTACAACTAAAGAACTGGGCACCTCCATAGAATTTTCTGTTGTTTCAGCATATGCCCGATGCTTGGAGGAAGAGTGTGCTTGTGCCTATTTACAAAAACAAGGGAGATATCCCGAATTGTTTTAACTATAGAGGCATTAAGCTTATAAGCCATACTATGAAGTTGTGGGAGAGAGTTATTGAACATTGTTTGAGGAGAGAGACCAAGGTTTCTGTTAATAAATTTGGGTTTATGCCAAGAAGATGTACCACAGAAGCTATTTTCTTGATGTGTCAATTGATGGAAAGATATCGAGAAAAAAAGAAGGATTTTCATATGGTGTTCATAGATCTTGAGAAAGCATACGATAGGGTCTTAAGAAAAGTTTTATGGTGGACTCTTGAGAAGAAAAAAGTACCATCAAAGTATGTAAATTCAATCAAGGATATGTATAATGGGGCTACTACATGTGTGAAAGTTTGTAATGGAACATCAAGTTATTTTCCTATTACAGTAGATGTACACCAAGGTTTAGTTCTGAGTCCTTATCTCTTTGCCTTAGTGATGGATGAACTAACAAAAGACATTCAAGAGGAAGTGTTGTGGTGTATGCTTTTTGCAGATGATATTGTGCTTATTGATGAGACCAAATACAGTGTTAATAGGAAACATGAATTGTGGAGAAGCACTTTGGAGTCTAAGGTTTCATGTTAAACCGGAGCAAGATTAAGTATATGAAGTGTGAGTTTTCTCTGGTAAGAGATGGAGATCAAGACCCCGTGCATCTACTTGGTCAAGAGGTACCCAAGAAATATACTTTTAGATGCCTGGGATCAATTTTGCAAAAATGTGGTGAGATTGATGAGGATGTAAATCATAGAATCAGAGCAGGATGGATGAAATAGCAGAGTGCATCTAGGTTTTTATGTGACCGTAAAATTTCCCTTAAGTTAAAAGGAAAATTCTATAAGACAGCAGTAAGGCCTGCAATGTTATATGGAGCTGAATGTTGGCCAGCACATAGGCAACACGAGCATAAAATGGGAGTAGCGGAAATGAGGATGTTAAAGTGGATGTGTGGTTATACGAGGATGGATAAGATAAGAAATGAAGATATTCGACGAAAGGTAGAAGTAGTACCGGTAACTGAAAAGATGAGGGAAGATAAATTGAGGTGGTTTGGGCACGTAATGAGACGGCCCCTGGATGCTCCTGTAAAACAAAAGTTTGTTACCAAGAGCTCGACACAAAGAGAGGTAGAGGTAGACCGAAACTTACCTGGGACTCGTCACACTTGAATATCCCAACAATCTTCCCCTCAAGTGTGAAACTCAATATTTGTATGCTCCCCTCAACTGAATACTCAGGCTCAAATACTAAACTCGCCTCTAGCCAATCACCAGGCTAGCTTAAGCCAAACCTGACTTTGATACCACTATCAGGTGAGTTAGGGGGAGCCAATGGCGGGGGACCACCATCAATAGGCTAAGCTACACCGACCATAGTAAGTGGATCCGTCATCATGTCTTAACCCAAACCTTATCAGGTAGGTCCAGAAGAAGCCCGTGTCGGGGAACCACCGCCAATGGGCTAAACTAGACCATCCACATCAAGTGAGTTTGACACCATGACTCAACTCAAAATCTTAAGACATTAGGTTCATGGGTCCCCCCACTTATATACACTTTACTTAACCCATTACCAACTAATGTGGGACTCATCACACTTGAATATCCCAACAAGATTGAAAACAAGGGCCATCTCATTGATGGATATCAGCAAGTAAGTGTTCAGAAAGCCCCTCTTCCTTCTGTCTGTGGAAAATCAGATTTCCTTGACATGCATCAAGTGTGAATCACCATACAGAGTGGGTTGTCCGCATTATAACACATTATAGTCAAAATTTGAAAGAAAATCCCTTGCATATGGATTTATTGCCCTAGGAATCAAATGGCGAAAATACTTTGTTATGCACTAAAATATTATTTTTCTTGAACCCTAGAAATTACATATGGATAGACAAGTGCGCATATTAGGCAATAAAGATCACAATTTGGAAAATTATGATATTTTTGGGCAAATATCCTGCATTCTATCATAAGATATCTGGATACCTGGTTTCAAGTATCCGGATACCAGGGGAAAAACTATTCAGACACTTGGAAGGAAATATCTTGATATTAAGTTTCAGATATCCGAATATTCCTTGACAAAACACCAAATTTTCATTCAAATAACGGGAAGTTGAATGTAATAATGTAATTTTCTTTGTTGTCAGTGTGCTCATACGTTACAGATTTCTTTAAACATCCAAAAAGTTTACTATAGTACATACATTTAGCATTGGTTGGTGAATTTTGTTCCATATTCCTTTACAGCACGTTCCAAGATATCTAGAAATATTTTAGTTGAAACCTTGAGGGACGTCTCATTGTATTTGAGCTCAAATTACATACAGGTCAACTAGTGCAAGAAGTGCACATATAGTAGCTTAAATCTTGGGGTTGTAATGATGAAGACAATAATTAAGAATGTGTAAAAATTCCTTTCAAGAATGATATGTAACTTTGATGTATGGCATTCCATCCTCAAATGTAATATATATCATATGGGTTTTCATATAATTTTGTTATCTTAGTCTATGTGCAATGTGAATTAATTTCAAAATAAAATATTTTTTAAAATTCATAAAAATTAAAATTTCTACCATTATTATCCAATAATTTCTTTCTAATTTTTTAACCATGCAATGATTTATGATGTTGTTGTATGATTCTCCATCCTCAAGCATTATATATATCATATGGGTATTCGTGCAGTTATGTTATCTTAAACCTTGTGCAAATATGGATTCATTTCCAAATAAAATTATTTTCTCTCAAAATTTTAAAATCAAAATTAGTCTTCTATTTATTTAAGAAAATTGTTTTATTTAAACCCTAGCAGCAATGCACGACATTGTTGTGTGGCTCGTCATCTTCAAGTGTTATAAACTTCGCTGGAGCTTACAAATACAGTATAGCTATGCTATTTAAGCCCTATGCAATGATGGGTTCATTTTCAAAAAATAAATTATCTCTTTCAAAAATTAAAATTAACCAACACACAAGTATTTGCTACAGAACGACATAACTTTGAGTTCCTTATTGCACCGAGGGATACGTCGAGTGGAACCTTTCTCGTCAATCCCAAAAATAAATTTTCTTTTCCAATAAGCAATCCTATTTAATTCTTTGGGGTGAAACAAATATTTAAAATCTTATCAATAATTTGCACAATTAATTTAAGGTAATCATTTTTAAAAAAATTGAATTGTATAGGGTGCTAACACTTTCCATACTTGTAATTGACTCTTGTACCTGTTTCTGTTTTCACATACCAGTTTTCTTAAGCAAAATAATTTTTTTTAATGTTTTCCCAAATAAATATTGGTAGTGACTTCATTATTTTTAAAATTTAATTTTCGTCGTCACCTCGCGATCCGGGGTTGACACATGGACTTAAATATGAAAATTGTAATTTCTTGTAATAAATGTCTATATATCTTTATAAAAGTTCATAGGTATAATTTATCCATGTACTCTGTCAATGTTTATGAATGATGGGTTCAATAATTTTAAACTAGGAAGTTTCATGGTATATCCCCACCAATTCATGCATTGACTTATTCATGTAATATATATTCAATAAAGTTTTTTTTTTTTTTTTGTATAGATATTCAATAAAGTTTTAGATTAGTTGTTGACTGCCTAACAATTTTCATCTTTTATCCGAATTTGAGACCGGCCATGTAGGGATTTTGCAACAAAGCACAACATAGGTCAAATTTTCATGCATTAACTTTAACAATAATAAATGATGAAGTTATAATACTCATTATCTTACTCAGACTTTGATGAGTTTTTTATTTTTTATAATTCCAAAGCTTGACAAAGATTGTTCAAATAGAACTATTAGTACATACTCTTTTATTGCTTAGGAATATTTATATAAGTATTGATCTCATCATGGGACTGCAGAACGATCAAGTTCATATTTATTACATAATAATACACCATATAACAACCACATGGGAATTGTATTTGTTTTAGATCTGCTTACACAGCCCAATACATATGAGTTGGCCAATAAAGACCCATTAACAATTTATTCCCATGTCTTCTCATAGTGTGCACCTAAATCTCAATGTAGAGAATCTCTCACTCTTTGTACAGCTTACCCTTTATAAACATTGTGATAATGATGCAAAACCTCACTTATATCATTAGGAGATATTTCAATTGACTAGTATACAGGACACAAACATTTTAAAAACATATGTATGCTATTATATAAATTTTCAATTTTAGTTTGTGGGGCGTAATAGTCCACCATGTATCGTTTAGGTTCGAAGTTTCTCCTAAAATATATTGACTAGAATATTATTCAAATGTATATATTTTTTTTAAAATACTCTATCAGTTCATCGTTTCGTAATTAGTCCGATTCGGAATGAGTCAATATTATTCAAATGGTATTAGATTTCCAAAAGTGAAATTGGGAAGGATCGAACACATGCTCTCATTCTCACGTGCTAAGTTTCTATGCGCCAACTGAATTACCATAATTTGGTTTCAAATGTATATTCTACCACTTGTAAGTGATGGTTCATATAATGAGCAAAATTGACCCATTTAGAGACCTATGTGATGCCGGGATTTCAAGTCGAGGGAAAACAATTGCCAAAGGGGTGACTTAACGAAAACACTTTCAGAACGAGGATTAATTTTACACTGAAAAGGTGTGAAGAAAATAAGGGGAAAAAAATTCCTGTATCCAACAATAGCTTTTGGTCTAGGGAAGTTTGACATTTATTAAATTTTTCCATTGCTGAGTGGATTATAGAGATTTTGGATTTTTTTTATTGTTTTCTGTCTTTTTTTTTTCTTTCTTAAAACTGTTTTCTATAATAATTAATAGAATATGTGTTTTCTGTGTTTTTTTTTTACAAGTTAAAATTCAAAGCACAAAACGAAAAATAATTGA